TCTACAGAGTGACACCTGTAATTTATTCCTACAGTGTCTATTAGTAATTTTCACTTAGTTTCTAACTTTCTTTTTGTCCTCAGCTCATTACTTCAGTATTTGTATGAATTCAGAAAATCCATTAATTTTATTGGGAATTTCCAGTGTTTAGCGGTCATTGTCTCCTTTAGCAAAGGACATGTGAAAATTCAGACCTTCCTGAAGTTTCCATGAATGTCTGCTGTATATGATTTTGGAATTCTATACAGCAATATAGCTTTTCCAAACAGTATTGTCTCTTGAAGCACCTAGAACCAACATTTAGCTTGGAGGGAACAGAAAATAAGCAAAAAGAGGAATAATAAAATAATTTAATTTCTGTCCACGAAGTTTTGAGTCAAATTTTGAATTTGTACTCAGCATGTACCTAAATCTCATCTTCTCCAACAGCACTGAATGATAAAAAATGTGAAGCTTTTACTTATTTCCTTCACTTACCTGAATTCAAGTCGTTTACTTTGTAGAATTTATGCCAATTCTAAAAAAAAAAAAATCCAAACAACAAACATTGCAATAGTTTCTAGGCTGAAACTCATGAATTGGTTTTTAAAATTAGATCTCCATGTAATGGAACTACTACAAAAATATAAACCTTCTGTGCATTATGTTTGTTGATTTCTCCCTCCTTCCTGCTGTGGGAATGTGCTCAATCTCATGTTTTACAGTCATAATACATTTGTTTAGTCTGCCACTTTTTTGTCTTTCTCCCTAACTTCTATTCAGTGTTCGCATCAGACAGAGTCCAAATAAATCCTCACACTACATTTATGTTTTGTTTGCTACTGAGTCACAAATACTCAATAGTTTATCTACTAAATAGATAAATGTCCTTCCTGTACCAGATCCAGATAATGTGTGTGATATGAGATACAAAGATTCTGTGTGTGAAAAATATATAGAATTAAGACCATTCAGCAAATTTTAGCCATTCTGCTCCCCCTTCCATAGAGAAACCTGAAAAGGAAGGAAAATTCTGCAGGCAGTCTATGGTAACACATGGGGTTTGTTCATCTGACAAACTTTCAGGAGAAAATATTTTGCTAATGTGTGGAAGTCTGTGATTGATAAGAAACACACTGCTCTAGAAAGTTAGAAACTGTCTGCTTAGCTCCTGTAAGAATGGTAATTGTACATCTGGTGTCCTGAAATGCCTTCTCAGCTGGAGAGAGGAACTTGGAAGAAATAGTGAGTCACACTACCATCTTTTGATGTGAAAACCCTGCCAGCAAATGCTTGTGGAACATTGCTGTTCTCCCTCCTGGACTCCGTGAAGTCCTGTCACCACAGAGCATTTGCAGTTGGTGATATCGCTGCTTCTAGCCCTCCTTCCACTTTTGTGCACAGCACGCCTCTGCTTGAAGTGGTGAGATCCTGCACAGGCTGAGGCCAGTGAGAGCATCCCAATGGATTTTTTAAAAGCTAGAACAAACCCCAGTCTGCACTGTTAATAAGCCAAAATAAGATAAAAATCTGAAAAGATACTGAGATTTAAACTTTATTATACAGAAATATAAAGAGCCAGAGCCTGTGATTTGTTCAACAGTTAAGCAATACTAAATACCTCTAGTGTACCAACCAAACCTGCTTTTTGACTAAAAATCTAAAGTATACTCTTCGGTGCAGAAGTCTGTTCAATAGTTCAACATAGGTAGTAACTAGTTTTCATTCATTCTCAGTGAGCTCTGTTAAAACTATCAGATTGTAAATTGCTGCTCTTACCTTATTTTTTTTAGTCACAGAAAGAGAATTCTGTCTGAAGCTTAAATTAAGCATATTTGCTAGTAATTCTTTAGTGTGGTTGTACTTTCTTTGCTGTAATGTTTCCTTTTAAGTTTACATATCTTTCTTTTCTATTGCATCAAGACTTACCTACTGTTATAGTTATAAATAACAGCCATATTTTTATATCCTTAAATGCTTTTTGTATTGCTTTTGATGATAGCTACAACTCTTTTTGGGAGTATTAATTGTTTCCAAAAAACACTGACTTACAATTTTTATTACAAAATAAAAAGGTACTTCTTTCTGTATTTAGACCTCCTAGGTCCTAAGAAAGCATACAGCAGGTTACTGTTATTTGACATGTCAATAAATGTAAATTACACTATGTAATACTGGAAAGGAAGGAACCACAACTTCTATAAAGCCATTAGCCAATAGCAGTTAACTTGAAATTCTGGCCTCCAAGACATTCTTTGGAGAGACCCATGACCCTCTGGCAAATTCATGAATGAAAACCACCAAGCATATGATTACATGAACGCAGTTAGTTTTGGCAAAATAAACTTCAAAGAGCAAAATAAACTTCATCAGCAATGAAAACATTTCACTGACCATTACCACCTCAAAATTTTCACTTTTCAAATTACAAAGCATTACAAAACTTTTTTTTTTTTTTTTAAGTGCATTTATAAAGTAGAAAGGCATAGAAAGACTTGTCCCTCATAAGGACATATAAACATGATTTAATATTGACACAACCTCAGTAGAATCTTCAAGTTGAACAGGCAATACTACAATGCATCCTATAAATTATTCCACTGACCCTCTAAAGTGAGGATAGCTTAAAATTAATACTTGAAGCAGGGTTACATATTTCAACAAAATAAATTTTAAAACCCCCCAAACCAGAAAAGCTCATGAGAGGTTTCTGATTCATCAGAAAGATCTTACTAGCTATCATGAGGAAATATTATTTAAGCTTAACTCCATTTGGCATAGAAGACAGGGATCCCATCCAGGGTCTACTCACCCACAGCAAAGACAAAATCAGCTATTGCTGGTTCTAAACTGGTGAAAGATATTGTCTGTCAACAGTAACAGGTATCTGGACAGCAGATAAATTTATCACCCTCAAAGCTGACTCTATGTAGGG